TAAATATAATTGGGTTGTACCCCTTATGGGCTACCCCACTACAGCCTGCACAACATAAACATTCTATTGTTTTGACATAGCATGGCATGAGCAGATGAGGAAAGCATCGGCCCAACAATGAGTAACACAATATCAAATTCGGTGCACTGGTAGATTGCTGCACATTTATAAACAGGCATTTCTATGCCATCCCTGTTCCCCGCACTGTTTCATATTCAAGTCTAGAACTATTACGTAGACCCCCAATCGAGAACCAAGCCCAGCCTCACACTACCCCTTGGAGTAACTATTGGGTTCTGGAAACAATGCCTGATTCTTGTAGATGTAACTGCACACCGACTGACCTCAGCTCACAGACAGCCTGCCGAGAAGAACATCAAAGTGAGATGGAGAAACGGAATCTGATTTGGTGTGAGATGAGATCCAGCTGTTGTGTGATGCTATCATTCGCATTCACGTCTGTCTGCCTCCCATCATATGTTCGTGCGTTGCATGCGTGGTGTGAGCGTGTGCAAGAATGTTGTGTTTGGTGTGGTTTGGATTTTCTGAGTGTGTGTGAATGTTATTTGGCCTGAGCAGATGTTTGAAGTGACTGCTCTGCTCAAGAGCTTTCCGACGAACCAAGAATCGCCGCGATCGGAGCAAGAACGAGAAAGTTATTATCGTTCGAAGTTTTGATTGTGATGCGGCGACTTTGGGAATTTGTGGAGTGACTCTAAATGGGGTATAGACTTTTGGGGGTTGGGAAATTCGTCCCCATTACTGTAGATGTTTCCAAGTGGTTGGGAGAAGCCAAACCAGGTTGGCAAGTGTGGCCAAGTTGGGAAGGTGGATGGCATGGGTTGGGAAAGTGACAAATGCCAAAATTGGGGTGCTTATAGAGAGGGGAATTGTGTGGTATGGGGTTTCCTTGGTTGGGGACTCCTTGGGGACCTTCCCTCTCGTCCTCCTCTTCGCTCCTACCTGGTTTCTTGTCACTCTAATCTTCTTTGTGGAACTTGTGAGAACTATTGTGATTGAGTTAAGTTTCTATGGCAGCTTACCCCCTAGTGCGTCGAAATTCATAACTCGAGTTATACTCTATCTTTTTATGTTATTCAAATTGGGAAAGATAGCCACGGTCAAAAGCTACGACATACTCGAGTTTGAGAGAATTCCAACGGTTAACTTTTCGTCGACGGCGTTTCTTGTGAAGTCGAGATTTCTGTCCAGAGATTAGGTCCAACGATTTTGAGATATTTCGGCCCCTAAACGTTTAAGACTCCGTCCTTAGTCTCTAACAAGTGGTATCAGAGCTGATTGAGGACGTTGTGAAGAGTCTACTGAGGTGTCAAGACCCTCCTAGACCCACCATGGCCTGTGGGCGTGCCTAAGTGGTGTTCTAGAGGTTGCATGTGACTTCCGCTAAGGGGAAACTCTGCCGAAATTTCGTTGGCGCCGACACTTGTGAAAATATTGTGGGACTTCGGTGTGGACAGCAAAAGGGGGAGCTGAAACCTCTGATTGGGAGCAGAGGAGATGAGTCAAGGGAGTGGAGATGCAGCTGAAAAGAGGAGTGAGCCGCCACCATCCAAGATTGAGGCGTTGGATGGCTCCAACTACGAGGAATGGAGTGGGCGGATGAGGAGCGTCTTCAAGCGCTACAAGCTGCTGAAACTTGCGATGGGAGAAGAGAAAATGCCCGAGGAAGGAGATGCTCGGGATCGGTGGATTGAGCGGAGCGCGGTGTTGTTCGACCTCATCTTGCAATCGGTCAACAACGACATGTTCCAACACATCAAAGATTTGGTCGAGTTGGACGACTCCGGTCCTAAGGCGTGGAAGCTACTGCGCGACGTGATTCAGCCCAACACGCTGCCCATGGTGATCGTGCTCGAGAAGGAGCTAGCGGACATCTCCATGCGACCGGGAGACGATGTGAAACCGGTCCTTGACAAGATCAAGGACACTTATGCTAGGATGGCAGCGGGGGGTAGCAAGGTGTCGGAGATGCAGCAGTGCACCAAGATCATCTCGGTGCTCGACAACTCGTGGGAGAACCTCATCCCCACCCTCAACGTTCAGCAGGACAAGTGGACGCCTGAGTGGCTGCGGCAGCAGATCCTGCAGGAGGACTTTCGCAGGCGCCACACAGAAGGTGGTGCTGCCAACAAAACTGATGAGGAGTATGGAGCTGCAGGAGGCAGCAGAGGAAGAGGGGGTGGGAGAGGCCGAGGCCGTGGGAGAGGTTTTGGTAGAGGAAGAGGCCAAGGAGATTCCAATGAGGGGCATGGGAGCTCTGGTGGCAGGGGGAGCACCCGAATGGAGGGTGCATGTTGGTACTGCAAGAAGGCTGGACACCCATGGTTCAAGTGTTTCTGTTAGAGACTAAGGACGGAGTCTATGTAGATTAGGGGCCCAAATTTCTCAAAATCGTTGGACCTAATCTCTGGACAGAAATGTCGACTTCACAAGAAACGACATCGACGAAAAGTTAACCGTTGGAATTCTCTCAAACTCGAGTATGTTGTAGCCCTTGACCGTGGCTATCTTTCCCAATTTGAATCGTATCAAAAGATGAAGCATAAGTTATGATTTTCGGCGCACTAGGGGGTATGCTGCCATGGAATATTAACTCAATCACAATAGTTCTCACAAGTTCCACAAAGCAGATTGGAGTAGCTAAAAACCAGGTAGGAGGGAAGAGGAGGACGAGAGGGAAGGTCCCAAGGGAGTCCCCAACCAAGGAAACCTCATACCACACAATTCCCCTCTCTATAGGCACCCCAACTTTGACATTTGTCACTTTCCCAACACATGCCATCCACCTCACCCAACTTGGCCACACTTGCCAACCTGGTTTGGCTCCTCCCAACCATTTGGCAACATCTACAGTAATGGGGACGAATTTCCCAACCCCCAAAAGTCTATACCCCATATAGAGTCACTCCACAAATTCCCAAAGTCGCCGCATCACAATCAAAACTTCGAACGATCATAACTTTCTCGTTCTTGCTCCGATCGCGACGATTCTTGGTTCGTCGGAAAGCTCTTGAGCAGAGCAGTCACTTCAGATATCTGCTCAGGCCAAATAACATTCACACACACACATAAAATCCAAACCACACGAAACACAAATTCTTGCACACGCTTACACCACGCATGCAACGCACGAACATATGATGGGAGGCAAACAGACGTGAATGAGAATAATAGCATCACACAGCAATTTCAGCCGGCCTGAGGGATGGGCACCTCCAGGCATGAAGCCGCCAAGTGGTGAACGCGCGCGAGGTGGCGCTGTGCAAGGTTCAGGTGCACAAGGTGAAGGTGCACAAGGTAAAGCCTCCCCTGGGATGTTCTTGATGGTTGAGGATGTGAATGGGAGTGAGGGTGATGTGGGTTCGGTTGGGAAGGTTGTGATGCACCCCCTCACTCACTGGGTGATAGATTCAGGTTGCACAAGCCACATGACCCCACGGGCAGATTTGCTTGATGAAGTGAAGCCCCCTGGGAAGATCAAATTTGTGGCTGCCGCTTCAGGTGCTTTGCTCCCTGTGATTGGTGTTGGGAATGCTAAGGTAATGGGAGCCAATGGGGAGCTTGTGGGGCTTGGGAATGTCCTGTTGGTTGAAGGTTTGTCCGCTAACCTTCTTTCTGTGCGCCGGCTGCAGAAAAGCAAGGCCAAAGTAACATTCGGCCCAACCAGCTGCCGTGCAAAGCTTGGGAAGTTGCTGCTGTGGGATTTGAAGGAGAAGAGCAGCTGCATTAAGAACTGGCAGCTGCCCATCATCCCTTGGAATGGGAAACCATTAGCAGCGGCAACGGCAGCAGCAGCGGCTAAAGCAACTGCAGGAGGAGAGGAGACTGCACCAACTGCTGGGGCCCTAGATGCAGTCAAGAAGGTGCAGCAGCCACAGCAACCACATGGTGAGGTGCTTGCTGGTGTGGATGCAACAGCTGCATGGGGCTAACCACACGCGGCCTGACATTGCCTTTGCTACATCCAGGCTTGCCAGTGTGGTTTCACGCCCCAGTCATGAGCAGCTGGAAGCGGCCAAGAGATTGGTCCGCTATGTGAGCGCGACAACGTCAGTGGGTTTGGAGTATAGTGCTGTGCGACAGAGGCTGCAGAGGGGTGCAGCTGATTTGAGCAAGGGGGAGATGCTCTTGACTTGCTACACCGACGCCAGTTTCAACTCAGTGAAAGCAATGGCACCAGCATTGAAGACTATGTGTGCCTCTTTGGAGGTGGTACAGTGAGCTGGCGCAGCAAGAACCAGAACGAGGTTAGGCTGTCCTCGTGTGAGACAGAGTACATGGCCCTGCATCATGGGGCAAAGGAGATGGTATGGCTGAGGCGTTTGTTGGAGGAGATCAGAGTGTGCCAAAAGGAGCCGACCATGATTTTCTGTAACAACGAGTCTATAGTGAAGTTGGCCAAAAATGCTTGTCTTCATGGCCTGACAAAGCACATCAGGCCTAAGTGGCATTGGACAAAGAGACTCCTGGATAAGGAGGAGCGACTTGAGCTTGTGAAGACCCAGCAGCAGGCGGCTGACATTCTCACCAAGCGCCTGGCTGAAGCCGAGCATTGGAATGGATGAAACTTGCAGGAATGAGTGTGCATTAAATATACATGCATGATCTGAGGCATATGGAATAATGGTAATCAGCCAGAGGGGGAGTTTGTTGTGTGATGCTATCATTCGCATTCACGTCTGTCTGCCTCCCATCATATGTTCGTGCGTTGCATGCGTGGTGTGAGATATCTCAAAATCGATTTTGAGATATTTCGGCCCCTAAACGTTTAAGACTCCGTCTTTAGTCTCTAACACCAACATGGCGGAAAGACATTCACAGTGAGAGGTGAAGTTTCCAGCGACTGAAAAAGCTTGAAAGGTAGACAAGATAGGGCATTCTTGGGAGACAGGACAGGGAAAACCCAGGAGAAAGGATAGAACATACTGTGGGTCGATTCAGAAGTCACGCAGTGTGAGATGCAGTGTGAAGCGACTCACATGGTTGATGGGAATGGCGAATGCCACTCCCTCAGCATCCGATCGGATGGCTGTTGTGATGCCAATTACCTGCAACAACCAATCAGATCATGCCATGTCAGCAGCAAGCTATGCAAAGCATGACCTATTTGAGTGGATTTATACTCCTCTGAATCTGTTACCAAAGGGACTGCCTGAGCTCCCCAGGTTGATGGGAGGGCAAGCAAGCAGCATGTGACATATAAGGAAAGCAGCATGAGATAGCAACATGCACCTCTCCGAACTCGTTCACGAGGGGGCTGCCTGAGCTCCCCGGGTTGATGGCACAGTCGATTTGGAAGAAATGGAGCGAGGAGTGCGGCACTCCCACCTAAGAGTGAGAGGAGAGGGAGGGGGAGAGGGGGAGAGGAAACACGAAGGGGTGGAAGAGAAGGGGGGAAGGAGTCAGTGGAATGAGGAAAATTCCCCACCCTCACAATCACCTGCACCCATTCGCCACATCCCATTTTCCACACTCACACTCACCTGCACTTCATGCGCCACATCCCATTCGCCACCCTCTCGCCCTCACACTCACCTGAGCTGCTGCGCGGTGCATGTGTCACATCTCATTGCACACCTTCTCATCACACTCACCTGAGCAGCAGTGCGATGATCACGCTGCTGATCACACCCAGGCCGTTGCTGCTCTCCCCCTCTCCCCCTTCCCACATCCCCCATTCCCCCCCACCCCCTCCATCACCTGCGCAGCAGTGCCGTGCAGGCTGCTAATCACGCCCAGGCTGATGCTGCCCCATGTTATCTTGTGTATACCTGCTCTCCCCCACTCCCCCCCGCAGCCAACACCCAACACCCCCACCCCCTCTCTCACCTGAGCAGCAGTGCGGTGCAAGCTGCTGATGATTCCCAGGCTAATGCTGCCAGGCTGACGCCCAGTAGAGTAGATCTGCCCTTGCCCTGCCCCCATGCCTCAACCTTACCCTCACCTGAGCGGACGTGCGGTGCAGGCTGCTGATCACGCCCAGGCTGATGCTGCCCCAGTGCCCTACGTATACTCATATACTGGCTCTCCCTTTTCCCCACCTCCCTCACAATCTCACCTGAGCGGCTGTGCGGTGCAGGCTGCTGATGACGCCTAGGCTGATGCTGCTGCCCCACGTGAACCCGTGTAGGTCTGCTCTCCCCCTCTCCCCCTTCCCACATCCCCCACCCCCACCCCCCACAGCCACAATCTCACCTGAGCGGCCGTGCGGTGCAGGCTGCTGATGACACCCAGGCTGATGCTGCCAGGCAGCCCCACGGGATTGCCCACCGAGATCACCCAATCAGCAAGCTCCACGTCATCACTGTCACCAATGGGCGCACACGGGAGCCAATCCTCTTCTTCCCTGCTGCTCGCGCCTGCCTCTCTTTCATCTCTCTGGCCTCTTCTTTCCCCTCCATGGCTTTGCCCTCCTCCCTCCCCTCCATCCCTTCGCCCTCCTCCCTTCCCTCCATCCCTCTGACCTTCTCTCTCCCCTCCTCTCTCTTGCACCTCTCTCGCTTCTTCCAATATGCCTGATACATATGGGTTCCCCTCCCACACGCATCTATGCAAACATGTGTGCATCTATGATGCATAGTGTGGTGAGAAGTAGGATAAGAAGCAAACAAGTGCACACACTAGTGAGGACATACCCTGCACCCTACACGTGTGCAACGCCCCACATGCATGTATGCAAGCACGTGTGCACTTATGATGCGTGTGTCATGGCGAGAAGTGAGGGAAAGAAGCAGCAGCGATGGTACCATGCCGTGCCATGCCATGCCATGCAAGGGCACATGAGTGCTGTGATGAGGTGAGGAGAGATTGGCATGGCAAAATGATGCATTGCCTACAACATGATGAGGTGCGGAAAAGCATTTGCCTCTGGCTGCTGTGACAAATTTTTAGACACATACGAGCATTGGTGAGAAAAGACCAGCCAGGCCTATCGGTAGCTTGACACACACGGCATGAACACTCCCCCTACCGTCACTCTCGCTGCCCATCAACCACATGTGCGTTGGTGAGCACCAGCCGCCGAGCACCAGCAAGCACGTCCCTATGGGCAATGTGTGACTAACGTCCAATGCGAGACGGGTATCTGTTCCCATCCAGACCCAGACGATGTGAAAAGGTGTGAAATGGAGGAAGGACGGAGAACAGGGCTCCGAGAGAGAAAGATGAGACCAATGAGAGAGGAAGGTAAGGGGGGGCATGCATGACAGTGTAGGGAAACAGTTCACAGTGTGTTGGCTACATACGGTATCACCATGCTTGCATAGCCATAGTAATGTATCAATCTGATCCGGACCCACCTGTCTCTCTGAGCTCATCCCCCTCTCCCCCATGGCCGGTGCTGCCCTTCCCCTCTTCCCTGCCCTCCTCGCTCTCCCTAAAGGTGGCTTGTGGGGACGCCCGAGGAAGGTGCCTGCAAGTGGGAGGGAGACAAGCACGCAGGACGAGTGGAGTGTTTTGAGTCGACTCGAAGCACGCCGCGGCTCTCCCTATACTCCGCTGTTGCCAGCATGCTGCCAGCTGTCACCCACCACACTAGCATCTGGGGTGGACAAGGGGAGAGCAGAGCAGCAGTGACACAGGAGAGAAGGGTTTGGGAGGAGGGTTGTTGGTGCATTGATTGATGTTACTGATGGCAGGAAAGTGGTGACAGATGTGGCAGATGTTAGACGGGAAGGAGAAAGGGAGAGAAACATTTTTATTATTTAGGAAAACGCGGGAAGTGGTGTGCACTGGAGGTGAACGGGAGAGAGCGAGCAGCAGCGAGCCGATCCTCACCTGCCTGTGCCGAGCCTCTCACCTGCCTGTGCCGAGCCTCTCACCTGCCTGTGCCGAGCCTCTCACCTGCCTGTGCCGAGCCTCTCACCTCGCTCTGCCGAGCCTCTCACCTCGCTCTGCCGAGCCTCACCTCGCTCTGCCGAGCCTCTCACCTCGCTCTGCCGAGCCTCTCACCACCCTGTGCCAAGCCTCTCACCTGGCTGTGACGAGCCTCTCAGCTCGCCATGCCGAGCCTCGCACCTCGCCATGCCAAGCCTCGCACCTGGCCATGCCGAGCCTCGCACCTCGCCATGCCGCGCCTCGCACCTCTCTGTGCCGACCCTCGCTTGGCTGTACCGGCCCTCACCTGGATGTGCCGAGCCTCTCACCTGGCTGTGACAAGCCTCTCACATCGCCATGCTGAGCCTCTCACCACGTTGTGCCAAACCTCGCCTGGCTGTGCCAAGCCTACTGTCATCATATCAATAACTTGTATCATTCCACACATCGCAAGGGTATATCGTCATGGCGGCCGCAGGATAAAATGGCAGGGAGAGCAGGGCAAGCGAGCAGGGAGAGCAGGGCAAGCGAGCAGGGAGAGCAGGGCAAGCGAGCAGGAAGAGCAGGGCAAGCGAGCAGGGAGAGCAGAGCAAGCGAGCAGGGAGAGCAGGGCAAGCGAGCAGGGAGAGCAGGGCAAGCGAGCAGGGAGAGCAGGGCAAGCGAGCAGGGAGAGCAGGGCAAGCGAGCAGGGAGAGCAGGGCAAGCGAGCAGGGAGAGCAGGGCAAGCGAGCAGGGAGAGCAGAGCAAGCGAGCAGGGAGAGCAGGGCAAGCGAGCAGGGAGAGCAGGGCAAGCGAGCAGGGAGAGCAGGGCAAGCGAGCAGGGAGAGCAGGGCAAGCGAGCAGGGAGAGCAGGGCAAGCGAGCAGGGAATACAGGATCTTCGAGGCTCACCTGCGGAACGCGTGATCTCGGTAGCAGCCGGGTGTCCGCGAGTATGCATCGCATCGCATCGCATCGCATCGCATGGCGGCACTTTTCGAGTCGAGGGTGTCTCCAGCTTCGCCGTCAACGAAAGACAGCCACGTGACTACCAACCTCCTGAACAGATCAACCACGCATACGCACAGAAAGAAACAGCATGAGTCAATATAGCATCATTCACAGCCACTGAAGCTATACGCTAGCTTCAAGAGATACACGCTGAAAGCTTGAAACGCAGCGAGACAGGGAATCGTCACGCACCTGAAAACTACTAACGCACGGTAATTCGAAGCTAACGCACGGTGATTCGAAGCTAACGCACCTGGAAAACCTCGTTTCAGGCGCGCCTGCCGCGCTGCTGCTCGTGCGCCTGCCACGCGGTTACTCGCGCGCGCCTGCGCCGCTGTTACTCGCGCGCGCATGCGCTGCTGTTACTCGCGCGCCTGCCTCGCTGTTGCTCACGCGCATACCGCGCTGTAACTCGCGCACGCCTGCCGTGCAGTTGCTCGCGCGCCGCCATCAGTGCTGATGCGCGCACGCCCTCCGCCTGCCGCGCTGATGCTGGTGGGGGAGGAAGGTGCGGGAAAGGGTGAGTGCTGGAAGCTAGGAGAACGGAATTATAGGGTGATGGCGCGGGTACAGAGAGGTATCATAGGCGCAAATGAAAAATCGATGTTAGGTCGGGCATCGGAAAGGTATAGGCGCAAGGCAAATACCTCATTCGATCCTTGCAGCGCACGGATTACGGAGTTTCTAATAGCCGGAGTCGCTACAGCGGTAGAGCTTATATGTGACCTTGAATATCTCGTTATGTGCTGAAGTTGAGCACCTAAGGAGTCGGGGAGGATGTGGGCCGGTCGACAAGGCAAGAAAGTACCGTAGGATGAGAGAGTGGCAGAAGAGCCGTCATAGTCAATGAAGCAGATCCAAATAGTGGTGGCGGAATTGAAACGAGAGCGCGTATGGAGGCTGGGATGTGGTGAGGACGCGGGAAAACCGAAAGCAACAGTATGTGCGACGGAACAAGTGACTAGTGCGCGATGCAACAGGCGATTCGCACGTGACACTTGCCGCGCCGCAACCGATTCCTAGCACGCGTCTCGACCGAAGACCTGGCTAGTAGTAGTAAAGGGCTGGAATGCAGTGGGGACGCGGTAAAACTGAAAACAACAAGTATGCGCGACGGAACAAGTGACTAGCGTGCGACGCAACAGGCGATTCGCATGTGACACTAGCCGTCGCCGCAACTGATTCCTAGCACGCGTCTCGACCGGTTCCTTGGCTAGTAGTACGGTAGTAGGAAACGAGCGCATCGTTAGCAGTGCTACTAACATGGGAAATGCCGCTCTAATGAAAGGCGATGAATGTCGAGAGAGTAAAGAGTGGGTGCTGGAGCAGAGGGGGATGAAATGCAACCCCGCCCACCACCCACAAAATGTTCTCAAACATCTCGGTCATAATGAAATAAACCGAAGCATACCCTCTTGCACTAATTAGAAACGGAAATTTGCCACCAGCGTGCGAATGTATTACTCGCAACACTCCCAAATTGGCCAATGTGGGTGAGGATGGAATCCAAAAAAAAAAACAAACAAAAAAAAAAACTTCTGGGGGAAGCGAGTGGGAGAGGGGGAATCTTTTGGGGGGTGCCTAGAGTCAGTATATCGAGTAAAGAGGTTGCACATCTATCCGCGGTTCCAAAGCGGGGTCAACGCGGTTCGTTTTGCAGCGCGGTTCCATTTGCATGGCGGTTCCGATTTGCAGTGCATCTTGTACAACAGCAAAATTGCATCTTGTACTTATATGTTTGTCAATCAGCTCACAATATTATATGCTTGTATATTATTGGGCCTTGTTAAATAGATATGTGAGATCATGAAAGACACCAAACACATACAAATAAGAATGTTTTTCATTAGCAATTAATCTCAAAATAACCATAATAAACATTAGCAGCTGTAGCGACAGCAAAGTGCGGTAGCAATAGCACCATCACCACCACACAACATGTGATCGGATAATAAAGCATTTGCATATCTCAACACTTTTATCACATCAATAGTTAAATGTTAGAACTTACATTTTGTATATAAATACTTGCATCGTACTGTAGCACAGCGGTAAAAACAACATCAGTATTAGCAAAATATAGCGGCATACGCAGTAGCAAATAGCAACAGAATCAGCGGTAGCAAATACGAGTATCCTTAGCAGTTGCATAGTATCAACATTTGCAGATTGCAGCAGCATCACCACCAGCAGGTTGCGACAGCATCAATAGTAGCAAATAGCAGCAGCATAAGCGGTGGCAAGAGAGAGAGAGAGAGAGAGAGAGAGAGAGAGAGAGAGAGAGAGAGAGAGAGAGAGAGAGAGAGAGAGAGAGAGAGAGAGAGAGAGAGAGAGAGAGAGAGAGAGAGAGAGAGGAGAGAGAGAGAGAGAGGAGAGAGAGGAGAGGAGAGGGGGAGGAGGGGAGAGGAGAGGGAGGAGGAGGAGGAGGAGGAGGAGGAGGAGGAGGAGGAGGAGCAGGAGGAGGAGGAGGAGGAGGAGGAGGAGGAGGAGCAGGAGGAGCAGAGAAGCAGGAGGAGGAGGAGGAGGAGGAGGAGGAGGAGGAGGAGGAGGAGGAGGAGGAGGAGGAGGAGGAGGAGGAGGAGGAGGAGGAGGAGGAAGAGGAAAGGGGTGAACGAGGAAGGGAAGGAGAAGAGGAAGGAGAAGGCGAAGGGGAAGAGGAAGGGGAAGGGGAAGGGCAAGGGCAAGGGGAAGGGGAAGGGGAAGGGGAAGGCGAAGGCGGAGGCGAAGGAGAAGGCGAAGGCGAAGTGGAAGGGGAGGGGGAAGGGGAGGGGGAGGGGGAGGGCGAAGTGGAGGGGGAAGGGGAAGGGGAAGGAGTAGGGGAAGGGGAAGGGGAAGGGGAAGGAGAAGGCGGAGGCAAAGGAAAAGGCAAAGGAGAAGGCGAAGAAGTAGGCGAAGGGGAAGGGGAGTGGGAAGGGGAAGGGGAAGGGGAAGGGGAAGGGGAAGGGGAAGGGGAAGGGAAGGGGAAGGAGAAGGGGAAGGGGAAGGAGAAGGTGGAGGCAACGGAAATGGCGAAGGAGAAGACGAAGGAGAAGGCGAAGGCAAAGGAGAAGGCGAAGGAGAATTCAAAGGGGAAGGGGAAGGGGAAGGGGAAGGGGAAGGGGAAGGGGAAGGGGAAGGGGAAGGAGAAGGGGAAGGAGAAGGCGGAGGCGAAGGAGAACGTGAAGGAGAAGACGAAGGAAAGGAAGAAGGAGAAAGCGAAGGCGAACGCGAAGGCGAAGGAGAAGGCGAAGGAGAGGAGGAGGAGGAGGAGGAGGAGGAGGAGAAGGAGGAGGAGGAGGAGGAGGAGGAGGAGGAGGAGGAGGAGGAGGAGGAGGGACGATGATGACGAAGCAGCAGTAGCAAAGCAAGCAGTGACGGCAGCAGCAGTGGCAAGCAAGCACTGACGGCAGCAGCAGCAGTAGCAAGCAAGCAGTGACGGCAGCAGCGGTGGCAAGCAAGCAGTGACGGCAGCAGCAGTAGCAAACAAGCAGTGACGGCAGCAGCAGTAGCAAGCAAGCAGTGACGGCAGCAGCAGTAGCAAGCAAGCAATGACGGAAGCAGCAGTAGCAAGCACCGACGGCAGCAGCAGTAGCAAGCAAGCATTGACGACAGCAGCAGTAGCAAAGCAAGCAGTGATGGCAGCAGCAGGAGCAATCAAGCAGTGACGGCAGCAGTCGTAGCAAAGCAAGGATTGACGGCAGCAGCAGTAGCAAAGCAAGCAGTGACGGCAGCAGCAGTAGCAAGCAAGCAGTGATGGCAGCAGCAGTAGCAAGCACTGACGGCAGAAGCAGTAGCAAGCAAGCAGTGACGGCAGCAGCACTAGCAAACACTGACGGCAGCAGCGGTAGCAAGCAAGCAGTGACAGCCGCAGCAGTAGCAAGCATTGACGGCAAGGGCATTGGCAAGCAAGCAGTGACGGCAGCAGCAGTAGCAAGCAAGCGGTGACGGCAGCAGCAGTAGCAAGCAAGCAGTGACGGCAGCAGCAGTAGCAAGCAAGCAGTGACGGCAGCAGAAGTAGCAAGCAAGCATTGACGGCAACAGCTGTAGCAAAGCAAGTAGTGATGGCAGCAGCAGTAGCAAGCAAGCAGTGATGGCAGCAACAGTAGCAGCAGCAGCTTCTCTGCTGCTACAGCCGCCCCCACCTTCTCTGCTGCTACAGCCGCCCCTACCTTCTCCGCTGCTACAGCCTCCCCCACCTTCTCTGCTGCTACAGCAGCCCACACCTTCTCTGCTGCTACAGCCTCCCCCACCTTCTCTGCTGCTACAGCCTCCCCCACCTTCTCTGCTGCTACAGCCACCCCCACCTTCTCTGCTGCTACAGCCGCCCCCACCTTCTCTGCTGCTACAGCCACCCCCACCTTCTCTGCTGCTACGGCCGCCCCCACCTTCTCTGCTGCTACAGCCTCCCCCACCTTCTCTGCTGCTACAGCCACCCCCACCTTCTCTGCTGCTACGGCCGCCCCCACCTTATCTGCTGCTAAAGCCTCCCCCACCTTCTCTGCTGCTACAGCAGCCCCCACCTTCTCTGCTGCTACAGCCACCCCCACCTTATCTGCTGCTACGGCCGCCCCCACCTTCTCTGCTGCTACGGCCGCCCCCACCTTCTCTACTGCTACGCTGCTACAGCCTCCCCCACCTTCTCTGCTGCTACAGCCACCCCCACCTTCTCCGCTGCTACAGCCGCCCCCACCTTCTCTGCTGCTACAGCCGCCCCCACCTTCTCTGCTGCTACAGCCGCACCCACCTTCTCTGCTGCTACAGCCGCCCCCACCTTCTCTGCTGCTACAGCCGCCCCCACCTTCTCTGCTGCTACAGCCCCCCCCACCTTCTCTGCTGCTACAGCCGCCCCCACCTTCTCTGCTGCTACAGCCGCCCCCACCTTTGCTGCTACAGCCGCCCCCACCTTCTCTGCTGCTACGGCCGCCCCCACCTTCTCTGCTGCTACGGCCGCCCCCACCTTCTCTGCTGCTACGGCCGCCCCCAACTTCTCTGCTGCTACGGCCGCCCCCACCTTCTCTGCTGCTAAAGCCTCCCCCACCTTCTCTGCTGCTACATCCGCCCCCACCTTCTCTGCTGCTACAGCCGGCCCCACCTTCTCTGCTGCTACAGCCGCCCCCACTTTCTCTGCTGCTACAGCCGGCCCCACCTTCTCTGCTGCTACAGCCTCCCCCACCTTCTCTGTTGCTACAGCCGCCCCCACCTTCTCTGCTGCTACAGCGGCCCCCACCTTCTCTGCTGCTACAGCCGCCCCCACCTTCTCTGCTGCTAAAGCCTCCCCCACCTTCTCTGCTGCTACAGCCGCCCCCACCTTCTCTAGTGCTACAGCAGCCCCCACCTTCTCCGCTGCTACAGCCGCCCCCACCTTCTCTGCTGCTACAGCCGCCCCCACCTTCTCTGCTGCTACAGCCGCCCCCACCTTCTCTGCTGCTACAGCCGCCCCCACCTTCTCTGCTGCTACAGCCGCCCCCACCTTCTCTGCTGCTACAGCCGCCCCCACCTTCTCCGCTGCTACAGCCGCCCCCACCTTCTCTGCTGCTACAGCCGCCCCCACCTTCTCTGCTGCTACAGCCGCCCCCACCTTTGCTGCTACAGCCGCCCCCACCTTCTCTGCTGCTACGGCCGCCCCCACCTTCTCTGCTGCTACGGCCGCCCCCACCTTCTCTGCTGCTACGGCCGCCCCCAACTTCTCTGCTGCTACAGCCGCCCCCACCTTCTCTGCTGCTAAAGCCTCCCCCACCTTCTCTGCTGCTACAGCCGCCCCCACCTTCTCTAGTGCTACAGCAGCCCCCACCTTCTCCGCTGCTACAGCCGCCCCCACCTTCTCTGCTGCTACAGCCGCCCCCACCTTCTCTGCTGCTACAGCCGCCCCCACCTTCTCTGCTGCTACAGCCACCCCACCTTCTCTGCTGCTAAAGCCTCCCCCACCTTCTCTGCTGCTACAGCCGCCCCCACCTTCTCTGCTGCTACAGCCGGCCCCACCTTCTCTGCTGCTACAGCCGCCCCCACTTTCTCTGCTGCTACAGCCGCCCCCACCTTCTCTGCTGCTACAGCCTCCCCCACCTTCTCTGTTGCTACAGCCGCCCCCACCTTCTCTGCTGCTACAGCGGCCCCCACCTTCTCTGCTGCTACAGCCGCCCCCACCTTCTCTGCTGCTAAAGCCTCCCCCACCTTCTCTGCTGCTACAGCCGCCCCCACCTTCTCTAGTGCTACAGCAGCCCCCACCTTCTCCGCTGCTACAGCCGCCCCCACCTTCTCTGCTGCTACAGCCGCCCCCACCTTCTCTGCTGCTACAGCCGCCCCCACCTTCTCTGCTGCTACAGCCGCCCCCACCTTCTCTGCTGCTACAGCCGCCCCCACCTTCTCTGCTGCTACAGCCGCCCCCACCTTCTCCGCTGCTACAGCCGCCCCCACCTTCTCTGCTGCTACAGCCGCCCCCACCTTCTCTGCTGCTACAGCCGCCCCCACCTTCTCTGCTGCTAAAGCCTCCCCCACCTTCTCTGCTGCTACAGCCGCCCCCACCTTCTCTGCTGCTACAGCAGCCCCCACCTTCTCTGCTGCTACAGCCTCCCCCACCTTCTCTGCTGCTACAGCCGCCCCCACCTTCTCTACTGCTACAGCAGCCCCCACCTTCTCTGCTGCTACAGCCTCCCCCACCTTATCTGCTGCTACGGCCGCCCCCACCTTCTCTGCTGCTAAAGCCTCCCCCACGTTCTCTGCTGCTACAGCCGCCCCCACCTTCTCTGCTGCTACAGCAGCCCCCACCTTCTCTGCTGCTACAGCCTCCCCCACCTTCTCTGCTGCTACAGCCGCCCCCACCTTCTCTGCTGCAACAGCCGCCCCCACCTTCTCTGCTGCTACAGCCGCCCCCACCTTCTCTGCTGCTACAGCCGCCCCCACCTTCTCTTCTGCTACAGTCGCCCCCACCTTCTCTGCTTCTACAGCCGCCCCCACCTTCTCTGCTGCTACAGCCGCCCCCACCTTCTCTGCTGCTAAAGCCTCCCCCACCTTCTCTGCTGCTACAGCCGCCCCCACCTTCTCTGCTGCTACAGCCGCCCCCACCTTCTCTACTGCTACAGCAGCCCCCACCTTCTCTGCTGCTACAGCCGCCCCCACCTTCTCTGCTGCTACAGCCTCCCCCACCTTCTCTGCTGCTACAGCCGCCCCCACCTTCTCTGCTGCTACAGCCTCCCCTACCTTCTCTGCTGCTACAGCCGCCCCCACCTTCTCTGCTGCTACGGCCGCCCCCACCTTCTCTGCTGCTACAGTCGCCCCCACCTTCTCTGCTGCTACAGCCGCCCCCACCTTCTCCGCTGCTACAGCTGCCCCCACCTTCTCTGCTGCTACAGCCCCCCCCCGTCTTCTCTGCTGCTACAGCTGCCCCCACATTCTTTGCTACTACAGCCGCCCCCACCTTCTCTGCTACTACAGCGAGCACCTAGGAGCACCACCAGGGAAGTTTGGCACTTTGAACTGTTGCAAACCACTATTTAAAAACCCAGGTCACCTTTACTGTGCTGTTGCCAGGCCAAAACGAGTTTTTAGGTCCTCACAACCCACTGCAAATGGTGCTTTTGCCCCCGAGCAGCTCGCCGTACTCCCTGGCCAGAAACTGCCAGAGAGCACCTAGGAGCACCACCTGCGAAGTCTGGCACTTTGAAATCCAGGGATGGCCCCGCAATGTCATTATAAAGCTGATGCACCCTATGGAATGAAGCACCTAGTGTGTAGCATGGCATGAGCAGATGAGGAAAGAATCTGCCCAACAATGAATAACACAATATCAAATTCGGTACACTGGTAGATTGCTGCACATTTATAAACAGACATTTCTATGCCATCCCTGTTCCCTGCACCGTTTCATATTCGAGTCTAGAACTATTACGTAGACCCCCACAATCGAGAAGCAAGGCCAGCCTCACACTACCCTTGGAGTAACTACTAGGCTCTGGAAACAATGCCTGATTCTTGTGGATGTAAGTGCACACCGACTGACCTCAGCTCACAGACAGCCTGCCAAGAAGATGATCAAAGTGAGATGAGAAAAGGGAATCTGATTTGGTGTGAGATGAGATCCAACACGGTGGAAAGGCATTCACAGTGAGAGGTGAAGTTTGAAAAAAGCATGAAAGGTAGACATGACAGGGCATTCTTGGGAGACAGGACAGGGAAAACCCAGGAGAAAGGATAGAACATACTGTGGGTCGATTCAGAAGTCACGCAGTGTGAGATGCAGTGTGAAGCGACTCACATGGTTGATGGGAATGGCGAATGCCACTCCCTCAGCATCCGATCGGATGGCTGTTGTGATGCCAATTACCTGCAACAACCAATCAGATCGTGCCA